TTTTCAAAGAACCAATGAGTCTTCCTGTGCCAAGAGTCATCTATGTCATAGAAAGGACTCATGTTTGTACAAAGTACCTTAACTTTGGTAGATGTATTGAATCATTCAATAAGCAAGTGAAAGATAAAGCATTAACCATAAACGAAATGCACAAATATAACTTCCAAATGATTTATACATGTCAATCACCTCTTACTAAAGAGTGAATGAGAAACTACTCACTCTTCATAGCTTTGAGAAAGCTAGAAAGTGAGTGATTCTCATCCCTCCAAGTAGAGGAGTTACAAGATAAAACACAGTACACCATGAGTCTATTTTCGATGAAGAATGAGTGAATCACTTTCCACCCTTCACAGCTTTGGTAAAGCTTAGAAAAGTGGAAAAGTTTCACTTCTCTAGGGGAGGAAGGAAGCTCAAACAATGGAAGCTAATGAAAGTAGAAGAAAGATAGTCACTTTTGGAGGGTTTCCTCCTCAACCAAAAGATGATCCATCTCCCCCTATCTCTATCTATGTATGTCTATTTATCTCTAAGTGCTAGTAAGTGTAAGTCTCCTTTGAAGCTCCCACAATGGAGGTATTTATAGGAAAAGAAAAGGGGGTAAGGAAGAGTAAAAGAATAGTTCAAAGTCCAAGTGAATGCCCCAAAATCTGGATGGAAAATTAACCACTCTACATTCTGTCTGGGGAGTACATTCAAACGTTGAATAGCATTCGAATGTTGACTCCTGTCTTATGTAATGGGCGTTCGAGCGCTTAACTGGAGTTTGAACGTGGTAATTAAGTAGGTCTTGTCACCTACAATAGATAAGAGTTCCACAACCGATGACTCATTACCATGGCAGTCCTCTGGAGGTCCTTAAATAATTCAAGAGGGCGTTTGAACATTGTACTCAAGTAGCTCTTTATCTTCTGTGAAAATAACTACAACATGCCATAAGCCATCACCCTAGCACTCTTCCAGGGGCCCTCAAATAATTAAGATGGTGTTCAAAGGTGGATTAGCATTCAAACGTTGATGCCTTATTTCAAACTTCTCCAATTTTCTTCCAAAATATGTGAGTGTTGCATAATTAGTCTTATAAAAGCATAGTAAGATGCTAATTTTAACTACTAATCATGGTCCTCCCATGCTTTCCAACCACTCCCTCTTTCTCCCTTGGCTCCCATCTCCCTCATGCTTCAAATATAAATGTAGGGGTTAGGAGATCATAATGGTGCGTTAGAGATATTAAAGCATGGATTATATGACAAAAAGTGGGCCCCCGTAGTTGGTGGAGTCATTTAGAGAAAGGTCTAGGCAACCCTAGGCTTTCTAGGCATCATCTATCAATAGCTCATAGGTGACCTACCAATATTTTATTTCCAGTAGGGTATGCTACCGGTAGGTCTTGCAAGGGGCACTAGTAGCTGCTTTCTAGTAGGCTTTTCTACCGGTAGCTCTCAAGTCTTCTATAGATAAGTCTTGCATGGATTATACCAGTAGGTCTTGCATAGCTTCTACCGATAGGTCTTCCCTTGTCTTGGAATTCTTGGTTCCTTGAGCCCCCGAGCCATCCTTCATGAGGTCCTTTCTTTCCCATTGACATCGATCACTTGATGGGGTGCTTTATGCCTGCCCCTTCCAACCAATCACTTGTAATAAGACCAATCTCCATTAATTGTCAATTTGAATCCATTTCCCAAAAAATTCATTACAAAACAAGTTAATTGGATGCAATGAAGATGCTTAATATGCAATGTTCCACACTCATCATTAGGTCAATAAATTATGTCAGTAAATTAAGGCCCAATAGCATTGCTCTTATATATATAAATACACATATACATCCTACTCAAATTAATATTACATGCTCACCATCCCAGTTAATTCCATGTGCACTAACATATATCAAGGAAATTAATTATGTTACATGCAATATACCCATTTAATTATCCCACACCCTAATCAATGTTCCATTTTTAATTAATAGGTACCTATCAAGCTCAGTCATATCGCATTATCATACATTTGTGTTGAGTGGATGGGAAGGAACTGCTAATGACTCAAGAGTGTTTTATGAGTGTGTTACTAATCTAGTCAACATGTTTCAAATGCCGCCAGGAACTAAATTTATCAGTGGAATTTAGAAAAGTAATATATAAATGACATATTTTTACAATAATATACAATTCCTATATTGTGTTTCACAGATAAATACTATATTATGGATTCAGATTGAACAAACATGCCAGGTGTTTTATTCCCTTACCGCGGTGAGAAATATCACTTACGTGAATATAGAGATAGGGGTTGATCACCACTGTTCTTGTATTGTGCACTAATGTTCTTGAAATTTGTACTACCTATTAGGATTGTAGTTAAGTGATTATGGCATACTATTTTATGTTTGGTAGAATGTTCAACAATGGGATGAATTAGGATGTTTAATGACTAAAGATTTTCTATTATTTTGTTTTGTGCCTTATTTTTTTGGGTTGATGGATGTATTGAGAACATGAATTTTGATGTGTTTATAGGAGAGAATTAATACAAAGCTAAAATATATGACATAAATTAAAGTGCTTACTAAACATGGTTTATGTTTTAGTTTTAAAATTTTTTAAAACAAAAACTATAACCAAACGTATTTTTTGTTTCAACTTTTTTCCACTGAAAAAAAATAAAAATTGATTCTGTTTCTATTTTTTTTGAAAACATAAAAATAAAAACGTTACCAAATGCACCTTATATTATTAGTTGCATTAGTATTAGCTAGCACAAGAAGATCATGGGATAATTTAGAGTAACTTATTTTTCTTTGATTTACTTCAATTAGTCACTATTACAACGATGAATGAAAGCATTAATAGATAGGTGAAATAAAGACGACACGAGAGACAAGGTTGTGTTTGTTAACGTTGTCAGTTTTCTGTTTAAAAAAATGAAAACATAAATAGTTTTTTTTTTCTGTGTTAAAAAGTTAAAATAGAAAATATGTTTGGTTGTCATTTCTATTTAAGAAATTATGAAAACTAACACAAAATATATATTTGATAACCACTTTAATTTGTCCTATTTAATAGTTTTATATTATTTTGTTGATAAAAAAACAAATCAAAATTTCATTGTCGCCATATATCCATTAACTCATTAAATCTATACAAGTAATAAAAGTGGCTTAACTAAAAAACTTTTGATTTCCTTACTTATTCTTAAATAATTCTATAATATCTACTTTATTTTATTTTTTTTTGACAACAAAGAGGTGCAATTGGACGTGGCTTTTCTCGTTATCCTACACTACTGCTTTAAGAAGCCAATATTCAAAGCGATTTCAATTATGATATGTATTTTGGATTCAGTTCTTTAGCATTAGTATAAGATTTGGGTCTACATTGTGTTTGTATACCAGTTTTTGGATATGTTCTCATGGTTTTCGCTGCTTCAATTTTTATTGCTACTAATAAAAGTAGTTTAAGTGAAAAACTTTTGATTTCCTTTTTTATCCTTAAATAATACTATAATGTCTACTTTATCCTTTTTAAAGTGGCTTAGGAGAAAAAATTTTGATTTTCGGACTTATCCTTTAAAAATTCCGTAATATCCATTTTATCCTTTTTTTTGAGTTTCTATATCTATATCCATATGACTAATAAAAGTGACTTAAGTGAAAATTTATGATTTTCTTATTTATCATTCAATAATTTTGTAAGAATAATGCTATTGGGACATAATTTATTGACATAATTTGTTGACCTAATTTACTATGACCTTTAGATTAATTATAGAGTCCATCAAACATTGGAACTTGGTGTTAATTCAATGGTTCTACTAAAGCCACATCATTATGTCAGCAAATTTGGTCAAATTTTTATGTCCAAATAGTATTACTCATTCTGTAATGTGTATTTTATCATTTTTAAAGTGGCTTAAGAGAAAAACTTTTGATTTTCTTATTTACCCTTAAAAATTTTTTATAATGTCTACTTTATCATTTTTGAGGAATTTTTTATTTTTTTATTAGTTGCATTAATTCAACTAATAAATTCATTTTTTGACTTTTAATTATCTTCTTTCCAAACAATATAAATTTGATCCGAATCCTACTTAAAAACTGTGATTCGAATCCAATTCAATTGTCCAACGAATTTTATTTTTCACAGTGCATATATAAATTCGTTAAAATAGATATCTGTTTTGATCTGAATAAATTGATTAGAGACGATTTTAACATTTAACACATTGATTTCTCCTCCATTTTATTAAATAATTACCAAATTACTCATATATTTGTAGGTACGTAGTGCATATCTAAATTCGTTAAAAAATATATTTGAATAGATGTAATAATCTATATACTACTTTCGAATATCAATACTTGTCAAAATAATTTAATTGATAATACTATCCTTAAAAATATAAAAAGACAATAATAACTTATTGTAATAACTTCTTATTAGTTCAAGAAATCATCAGTCATCCAACTATTAATCTTTTACTGAAGTAAAACATACAATTTTTAAATACAATACAATTCAAAAAAAAATTTTGAACCTTATGCAATTCAGTTTATACAACCTAAAATATAAAAAAAATCTTGAGTGCAATAGTTACCCCACATCAATAGTACCACTTTGTATAATCGTTCACTAACAAAAGAATAAGTGGACAACTAAGCCCCATAAAATTTAATAATCATCATATAATATATAATCATCTCCATATAAAAAAAATTAATCCATTTTTTTAAATTTTTCATAAAAAAAAAAGTCAAAATAATTGACGTGTGATGCATGCATGTACCAACTATTAATACAAAAAGCAAAATAATGAAACCACATAAGTTTCACTATTAAATATATTGTGTCATAAGTCATTATCACTTAACTAAAATTCTAATAAATAGTACAAATATAAAAAAGAATAGTGCACAATACAAGACCAAATTAAAACTACAACAACATAAAGATAGTGATTTACTTTTTCTCTCTTCATCCTGGCCTGGGGAATAACTTCTTGTTCATCTTTCACTGCGTCATACGAATCAAATTTTAAATTCTCATATTGGATGGTACATTAACATTAAGTCTAATTTCATTACTAGACTTCTTCTCCTGCAACTTTTGATTGCTATCTAATGTCAGAGCCAAGTCCATTCAATCCTCTATAAAATGGCACTTTTAAAATTCACCAGATTCCATTTTCTCTACAAATCGGCCAAACCAAACAACCCTTGTAATCCTCTCCTCCTGTTATCTTCCACACACGGACACTTCCCACCATCTTCAAAACACATTTGCTCCAAAACCCACAATTTCGGTCTCCATTATTCTATTCCTCCAGACCATACTATAATCAGGGATGGACTCATCTCCATCTTCACTAGTAGGGACTTTTCTCCAGAAAGCCAAGAACTCGAAGACTTCGGATCAAAACTCACTACTGAAATTGTTGAAGATGTGTTGAAAGGATTCAAGAATTGGAAATTGGCTCAGATGTTCTTCAGCTGGGCATCAAATCAATATGGGTATAGGCACAATTGCTATACTTTTAATGTTATGGCTTCCATCCTATCACGTGTTGGACAAAATGTCCCACTCAGAATACTAGCGACGGATTTGGTGAATTCTCGGTGTTGGATGACAGCGGGGGCTTTGGGGTTCTTCGTAAGGTGTTTGGGTAGTCAAGGTTTGGTTGATGAAGCCAATTGGCTTTTTGATCAGGTAAAAAAGATGGGTCTTTGCATTCCGAATAGCTATAGTTATAACTGTTTGTTGGAAGCTATTTCCAAGTCTAATTCAGTTGATTTAATTGAGGACAGAGTGAAAGAAATGTGTGATGTGGGGTTGCAATTGGATAAGTACGCGTTGACACCACTCTTGAAGTGTTACTGCAATGCCGGGAAGTTTGAAAAGGCTTTGGATGTGTTTAATCGAATGTATGCCAAGGATTGGGTTGATGGGCATGTACTGGCGATCTTGGTGCTCGCTTTTAGCAAGTGGGGAGAGGTGGATAAGGCTTTTGAATTGATTGAAAGGATGGAAGAACTTAAGATTAACTTGAACGAGAAGACCTTTTGTGTATTGATTCATGGCTTTGTGAGAGAGTCTAGAGTGGATAAGGCTCTGCAACTCTTAAATAAAATGCATAAATTGGGTTTTGCTCCTGACATTTCAGTTTATGATGTATTAATTGGAGGCCTATGCAAGAATAAGGATATGGAAGAAGCATTGCACTTGTACACCGAGATGAAAAGGATGGGCATTTGTCCTGATGTTAAAATTCTTACAGTGATTATGTCATGTTTGTCTGGAGAGAAAGAAATGATGCAACTACTTGAGAAAGGGCAGGAGGATCTGGATTCGGAGGCTATGGTTGTGCTATATAAGTCTGCTCTGAGAGGTCTAGTTAACTGTGGTTCAACTGATAAGGCTTATCATCTACTATGGGCAAGAATGGGGGATAGTTCTGATGGTGATGTTGAGGTGGAAAGACTACTCATGGTTAAGCAATTTGTTCACCCGGATACCACTTCTTTTGAAATAGTTATTGATGGTTTGTGTCAGACTGATAAGTTGGACGAGGCTCTAGGGCTTTTTCTAGAAATGGATCGAATTGGTTGTAAACGTAGTGTATTACTTTATAATAATTTGATTGATTGTTTGAGCAATTCCAATAGATTGGAGGAATGTTTTGAGCTTCTGAGTGAGATGAAGAAATCGGGATTTGAACCAACACAGTTTACCCACAATTCCATATTTGGGTGCTTATGTAGAAGAGAGGACACCGCAGGAGCCCTTGACATAATAAGACTGATGCGTGCTCATGGGCATGAGCCATGGATAAAATATTCTACACTGCTTGTCAAGAAACTGTGCAACCATGGGAAGGCAGTTGAGGCTCGTGGCTTTCTTGCTGACATTGTTCAAGAAGGTTTCCTCCCTGATATAATTGCTTATTCTGCAGTTGTTGATGGTTTTCTCAAGGTTAAAGAAGTGGACCAAGCACTTGAGTTATTCAGAGAAATTTGTGCTCGTGGCTATGGTCCTGATGTGGTTGCATATAACATTGTAATAAATGGGTTGTGCAAGGCCAAAAGAGTATCGGAAGCCCAGGATATTCTGAATGAGATGCTGGAGAAGGGGCTTGTTCCATCAGTTGTTACGTACAACTCACTCATTGACGGATTGTGTAAAAATGGTGATATTGATCAAGCCATTCTTTGCTATTCAAGAATGGTTGGAAAAGAACAGGAGCCTAATGTTATTACTTACACAACTTTAGTAGATGCATTTTGCAATGCTGGAAGACCAAATGATGCTCTCAGCCTTTGGAACAATATGAGGAGAAGGGTGTGTTCTCCAAACAGAATTGCTTTTATGGCTCTAATTCATGGGCTTTGCAAGTGTGGGAGGCCACATGATGCTCTGCTGCATTTGCAGGAGATGGAAGAAAAGCAGGTAACACCCGACCCTTTCATCTATGTTGGGCTCATAGATGCTTTTATATTCATCTCAGACCCCACTTTGGCTTTTGACGTATTAAAAAAGATGGTTCACAATGGAAATTTTCCTAATGCAAGTGATAAGAACCATTTATTGTTAAAAGAGGCTATATTAAGACTGTCGGAGGATGCCAGGACTTCATCAACGGTTAAATATCTAATGGAACAGGGCAGCATTCCAAGACATCTTAGTAATTCAGATGTTGAAATGAAGGTCAGCTTGCGCCCGTCTCTTAATCACGAGGTTTGATGTCTCCCAACCTCAGTTAGATCATTGGTTCGAGTTCAAGAGGAATTAGGATGTTTTTGGTTGGAAGATTGTGGAGCAAGAATTGGAAGTATTATGCAGGGCTGCCAACTTTAGGTGTTACTATGGAATCTGGGTCCTTTCCTCTTGCTTTATCACCGTATTGTCTATTACCTTGCGAGGTATGTTTATCACCAAAATCTCTCAGTTTTCTTAGAGCTGTTTGCCTTGTTATTAAGTCATTCCTCTTGTTTTATCATCATTTGCTCTTGCTTAATGTTCAACATATAACATTATGAGTTTTAGCATCACCTAGGGAGGTATGTCTGTGACCAAAATTTCGATCAGTTAACTTGGCACTGTTGTCTGGTTGTAAGAGGTCGTTGACATTAATGGCAAGTTAAACACTGTATGATACTTAATATGTATACTTTCATACAATGAATACAAAGGAGTAATCTTAGAAATTAAATGGAAATTTGCTTTCCTACATAGGAAAAGAAAAATGCACGGTTGAAAACATTTTTTAAGGTACTTTTGTCTAAACAACAAAATAATTGTCATGAAAGAAAAAGTGTGTTTAATTACTTTTTTCATAAAAGTAATTTATATGCATCTTAATAAACAAATAATTCACTTATATGCGTGCATTTGTCTACTAATATACGTGGGATCAAGCGGAGCAAACCCAGATTAGAAAAAAGCCAAAAAAAAAAAAAAACACTTAAGAAATGCTCTGCTTAAAAAACTTCTTCAAGAAACAAAAAGACAAAGAAAAAAAAAACTTAAAAAGGTGTGTTCAAACGTTACCAAAAAATATTAACAAAATGGATGATACTCATAATAAGTAGTCCCACAAAAAAAGGCTTGTAAACATTATTCCTTTTATTAGTGGATTTGAGAGGGTCAAAATTTAGAGTACCATTTAAGAACATAATAAACTAGGTTATTATGACATAGCATATTACATTCTACTTATTACCTTTAACCTAGCATTATGTCATTTAAACATTGCTTTTTAATTATTGTTTATTACATTGATGCAATCTGCTGGTTGATTTAACATAATTTGTTGTATTCGTCCTGGCTTGTTATTTTAGAAATATTGATTTGCATACAACATGACATGCATATTGCTGTTTTTTAGTGCGTCAACGGAAAGTGCTGGAAGCTTGCATTTTAAGGGTGTAGTCAGTCTGAAAAGGGTACAAGAAGAATATGGACTAGAGTATTTGAAGGTAATTTTGTACTGGTGTAAAAATTTTGAAACTGGGAGGTATCTGCTGAAGGTTGAGGTACCATTTACACATTCAGTTAACTATATGCTGTGTTGAAGATACAAGACATGTCAGTGAAGACAAGTCAGCAAACAGAGCCAGCTGTTAGTTTGTTACAGTTTGTTACAAAATTAGTTAGGAAGGAGTTAATTAGTGAGAGTGACTTAGATTTTTGGTGATGCTTGAATGTCGGTGAGCTTGTGTATAAATACTACTTGTAATATTCTCCTGATGAGTAAGAGGAATAAGACATATCTTCTTCCCCAAGCCTCTACTCTCTTCTTTCACATTTCCTCAATTCATCACTGGTTTTATCATGGTATCAGAGCATATTAAGCTTCCTCTGTAAAGCTTGACTCTACAATGTTTACTTCTCATCAATGGCAACAACAGTCGAAACACTGACAACTTCGAATTCTGCATCTTCTTCCTCAAAACAAATTGAAGATGCTTCTCATCCATTCTTTCTTTACCTTGGAGACAGTCTTGGAGCATTACTGGTTTTTCAACCATTAAAAGGAGATAATTACAACTCCTAGAATCGATCCATGTTTATGGCATTAAGTGCTAAAAACAGAGGAGGATTTATCGATGGAACTGTTGGTAAACCATCAGAGACAGATCCTCCCTTCAACCCTTGGGTTCGCTGCAACAATATGGTGATTTATTGGATCTTAAACATTTTTTCGAAGGACATTGTGAAGAGTGTTTTATATATGAACTCAGCTAAGGAGATTTGGGATGATCTCAAAGAAAGATTCTCTCAAACAAATGGACCACAAATCTTCCAATTGCAAAAATCAATCTCATCTCTAATGCAAGATTGGCTTATTGTGAGTTCATATTATACTTAGCTTAAAAGTTATTGGGATGAGTTGATGAACTATCAACCTTTACCTACATGTTCATGTGGAGTTTTGAAGACTCTAATCGAGTATCAACAACTAGACTACATCATTAAATTCGTAATGGGATTAAATTATTCATTCTCTCAAATCAGAAGTCAAATACTACTCCAAGATCCACTGCCTTCAATCAATAAAGTTTTTTCTTTGATTCTTTAAGAAGAAAAGCAAATAGCTGTGTTTTCATCAATTCATTGATGTGTTGAATCTGCAGCTTTCTTAAATAAATCATCTTCAACACAACAAGGTGGAAATCGGCAGATTTCCAACAAATCCAAACCAACCTGTTCACACTGTGGTATTCTAGGGCACACTATTGATAAGTACTACAAGCTACATGGATATCCTCTAGGCTTTCGTTTCAACAACGGCAAGAATAATCCAAGGGGGGCAAATCAAGTAAGGGGACATGTGGATAATGAGAATCCAATAGTTGAAGACAAATTTGAGACAAAACCAGATCCACAACTATCAATCACACAAGATCAGCATCAATAACTTTTAGCACTTTTGAAACCTCAATCTAACACTGTTGGTCAGTCTTTTGCAAATCACATAAGGGGCTCTCATATTCAGTCATTACTAAACATGACAGATAATGCATCTTCATACTCCCTAACCATTGCTCAACATTCATCTCTTTAGTTAATCAATTCTTTTGATTCTGCAAATTCAATTCCTTGGATTATAGATACAGGAGCAACTGATCACATTGTGTGTTCAGTTTCTCATCTTAATTCCATCACTTCCACAGTTAAGTCATCAGTGAAACTACCTAATGGAAGTGTTGTGTCAGTCAGTCATGTTGGTATTGTTAAACTCTCTAAATCAATTGTGTTAACCTATATGTTTTGTGTTCCCTCTTTTAGTTTTAATCTCATTTCTGCAAGTAAATTCACATAACATTCTTCTTGTTGTTTATTGTTTATTTTTGGTTTTTGTTTCATCCAGGACCTATCAACATGGAAGACAATTGGGATGGGTGAACAGAGAAATGGCTTGTACATCTTTCTGCAAAAACAAAACAAGCAGTTTTCTTCCTCTGTTTCATCAGTTCACCACCAAGCAGAAGTGTCTTACAACTTATGGCATTTTAGACTTGGTCATTTGTCTTCACGAAGACTAGAACTATTGCATAACGATTTTTCTGATATTACTACTTCTCAAGATAGTCCTTGTAGTATATGTCACTATGCAAAACAGAATAGAAATTCATTCCCTGCTAGTAGTACTATTTCAGTTGTTCCTTTTGAACTCATACATTGTGATATTTGGGGTCCATATTTTCTATATTTTCTAACCATTGTAGATGATATTTTCTAACCATTGTGATATTTAGGGATGGTTCTCAATATTTTCTAACCATTGTAGATGATTTTTCCAAATGTACTTGGATTTACTTTGATGAAATCCAAATTTGAGACTCAACCTTTGTTGTATTCATTTCTTGCTATGATTGAAACTCAATTTCAAACTAAAGTAAAGATTGTAAGAATAGACAATGGACTAGAATTTGCAATGAAATCTTTCTATTCTTCTCAAGGCATTATACATCAGCTTAGTTATGTTGGAAGACCCTAACAAAATGGAGTAGTAGAAAGGAAGCATCAGCGTCTCTTAAAAGTAGCTAGAGCTCTTAGATTTCAAGCTCAGCTACCTCCTTCTTTTTGGGGAGATTGTGTATTGACTGCTGCTTATTTGATCAATCGTATTCCAACCCCTAATCTCTCAGGAAAATCTCCATATGAAATTTTGTTTTCTCGAAAACCCAATTATTCTCATCTCAAGGTTTTTGGTTGCCTCTGTTATGCTGCTACTCTTGTTCATAACAGGTCCAAATTTGACTCCAGGGCTAGTCAATGCATATTCATAGGATATCCCCATGGTGTGAAGGGGTATAAGATGTATGACCTTACTACCAAGACTGTGTTTCTATCTCAAGATGTCATCTTCTATGAGGCCATTTTTAATTTTTCTTCTAACAAACTTCAATTCTCTCAGGATCCCACAGTGATACCTATTCCAGTTGTTGATACGTGTTCTGATCAGACAACTGAAGATAATGTTTGCACTAAAACTTATAGTGTTCCCACTGAAACTTCTTCCTCCTCTGAACATCCTTCTTTTTCTCCTTCTCCTATTCCTCATGCTACTAGACATCTTACTAGAAATATGAGACCTCCTAGTTACTTGCAGGATTATCACTGCTAGCTTATCTCTTCACAGCCATCCGGTTCATCTTCTGTGTCAGGTAAAGCATATAACATTTCTGATTTTCTATCTTATGATAAGTTGTCCAACTCACATTGTATTTTTAGTCTCACCATTTCATCTAACTATGAGCCTCAGTTTTTCCATGAAGCCATTCATCACACTGAATGATGTGATGCTACAAGTGTTGAAATACAAGCCCTTGAGGTTAACAATACTTGGACCCAAGGCCAAACTTGTGGCAAAGGGGTACACCCAAAGAGAAGGCCTAGACTACCTTGAAACCTTCTCACTTGTTGCTAAATCCACTACTATCAGGTGTCTTTTGGATATTTCAGCTGTGAGAAACTGGCACCTATTTCAGGTGGATGTACTAAAGTCTTTCTTCATGGTGATCTATTTGAGGAGGTCTACATGAGTCTTCCTCTTGGTTATGCCAAAACAAAGGATCATCAAGTATGTCATTTGAATAAGTCCCTTTATGGGCTTAAACAAGATTCAAGACAATGGTTCTCCAAACTTTTAGCAGCCATACTTGGACATGGATTCACCCGGTCCAAATCAAACTACTCACTTTTCGCTAAGAGTACTGATTCTTATTTCATAGTTATGCTGATTTATGTTGATGATATTATCACAACTACAGATAATGTTCCATTTTTTGATGATCTTAAAGCCTTTCTCCATACTCAAATTTAGATTAAGGATCTTGGCACTTTGAAATACTTCTTAGGACTTGAAGTGGCAAGGTCCACATAAGGGATTTCTATATGTCAAAGAAAGTATGCCTTGGAAATTCTACAAGATTCTGGTTTTCTTGGTGCTCGTCCAGCAAAGGCCCCCGTGGAGCAACATTTGAAACTTAATAAAGATTCTAGCCCTGAGGTGGCAGAACCTTCTTCTTATCACAGACTAGTAGGCAAATTACTCTACTCAACTTTCACTAGACCAAACTTGTCCTATGCAGTTCAGATATTGAATCAATTCATGGGTAAACCTACACAATCACACTTAGATGTTGCTTATCGTGTGATGTGTTATCTAAAATCTACGCCAGCACATGGACTCTTCTTCCTAAACATTTCAGACCTACATCTCAACATTTATGTGATGTAGACCGGGCAGGTTGTTCAAACACCCTAATATCCACCACTGGCTTTTGTGTTTTTCTTGGTCCTTCTCTAATCTCTTGGAAATCCAAAAAACAAACAATTGTGCCTTGTTCTTCTGTTGAAGCAAAGTACAGATCCATGGCCTCTACTTGTTGTGAATTAACTTGGTTACTTGCTCTGCTAGCTGATTTCCAGATTTATCATCCTCAACTTGCTTTGGTTTTCTGTGACAACAAGACTGCATTCCACATTGTAGCTAATCTTGTGTTCCATGAGTGTACCAAACACATTGAACTTGACTGTCACTTCATCCGAAATAAGGTTCAAGGAGTGGTCAAGACTCTTCATGTCTCCTCTGCTCATCAGTTCAGTGATGTATTCACTAAGCCACTTGGTATACAATAATTTCATCTTCTCCTCAACAAGATGGGTGTGTTAATCATCCACTCTCCATCTTAAGGGGGCCTGTTGAAGATACAAGACATGTCAGCAAAGACAAGCCAGCAACAAGAGCCAGATGTTAGTTTGTTACAAAATTAGTTAGGAAGTATGTAATTAGTGAGAGTTACTTAGATTTTTAGTGATGCTTGAATGTCGGTGAGCTTGTGTATAAATACTAGTAATATTCTCCTGATAAGTAAGTGAAATAAAACATACCTTCTTCCCGAAGCCTCTTCTCTCTTCTTTCACTTTTTTCTCTGTTCGTCACTAGTTTTATCGTGTTGGGTGCAGAAGAACAAATTGCAAAAGGAATTTGTGAGAAAAGTTGGATGTACTTGTTGATTGGGACATAATATTTAGGAAGCACCAATTGATAGAGTACGTTGTTGACCTTGAAGACCTTGGGGCTGAGGTGGATGTTGCTTGATTGATTCCGTTGTATTCCTTAATCTTCGGACATCATCTCTCAATATGTGTGTGGTTTATCGGGATAGGGGAGTGTCACTCTCCCTCGGAATGATGCAAGAAATAAGGAAACAGAATAATGTGGTGGAATGAATGAAATGTGTGTGGGTGTGGACAAAAATGCTCCCTAAGTGCAAGGAGACTTTTGTGTGTCGTGTTTTACTTAGAAACGTATTCCAAGGTCGTTTACTTTGGGAAGGAGGTGAATCGTGTTGAAGGTGATTTTGGTAAAAGGAAAAGTGTAAAAAATATTTGTTGTTTGAGGGTTGTGATTTGTATCTTGATGGTATTTGAAATGAAAAAAACAAATGTTGGCTAATTAGAAAGATTAACTCCGATGGGAATGTCAAGTTAACTCGAAACCTTCCTCCAATGGTGCATATATGTTCGATTGATTCGTGCGAAGCGAGGGACGATATGGAAGTGAGGATCCAAACATAACCAGTGACAAGTCTACGGGATATCAAAGACTCACAATCACATCTACACTCAATTGGGTTGCTGTTTCTAACCCCTAGGAGCTGCTTACGCAGAGGTCACAAGCAGTAGCAACCAATGATGACCACTTGTTGAATGAATTATTGAAGGTGGACAATGACTCGTTGAAATTGATGGTGTGGAATGATGCTATTGAACAGTAGCAGAAGCAATGAAGAAGAATATGATTGATCATGCATAGAAAGGGAAGAAACGATAGATTGAAGTTTTGCTGTGATACCAAACTGATGTAAGACGGGAAGGACTAGAAATCACAAAATAGAAAGAAAAGAAGAAAGAAGAGTGGATAGAAGGGATTTGTCTTATCCTCACAAAGAATTGGTCAAGAAACACACAAAATTCTCCACAGAGAAACAAATTTTTATTATATCACTCTCTCTAATTAAAAATAGTTTGGGTTACACTATTATTTATAGGCCAAGTTCCCTACCAAAGTAAAAATTATTCTCCTACTAAAATTCTAAAAAAGTTTCATAATCAAACTCTTAAACTCTTATACTATTAAAACTCTATAATAATTTCCTAATCAAATTCTAATTACTATTCCTAATCAAATAAATACTCATAAATCAAATAATGATAATAATAATAATAAAACTATCAATTACACTTCCCTTTGAATAAAAAATTCCTAGTCTTTCTTCTAGGCTTCCAAAATCGACTGTATTGGTCCAACCAACCAATGACTATGCCATCAAAACCCTATTATATTTGGAGATAAAGTATTTTGAGTCTAGAAATAGATTATAGATAACTTAGTTTCTTTAGGGAATTTTGGCCCCCAGTTTTGGCATCCATGTTTGGTTTTATTATCTAGGATAGAAAATTTTGTATAATCTCTCTTTATTGATAGTGGAACTTTGCTATTGTGCTTTGCCTGTGAATGTAAGTTTTGGAGCCGATCCACGTAAATTTGTGTTCCATATTTTTTCTATTTTGTTTAGTTTATTTGTTTGTGGCTTTTGTTCATAATAGCTTGTGAGTAGTTTTGGAGAACTATGGGAAGAAATCGGAGGACATAGCACAATGGGTGGGCCATGATCACGATGTTGTTTGAAGCGGCAGAATATTACGAAAATCGTATCAAGAGTAATCATTTTAGCATGTGGACAAGCCACGTGCACAACAGGTGCCATACCGAGAGCTACAATAGGTCGGGCTGAGGTTCAAATGTCGACTTGTTGACAAAATTGAGTAAAATTAAGGGATTGGCATCCGAAATCAAGTTAGGTGAAATAGTGGCTAATCATCTAGAAGATTGAGAACTGAACTGGAAAGTTTTAGCAAGCATCATCAACAAATCCTAAAGAACAAGCTTATTAGGGAGCGTTAGAGAAATCTTCTCCAAAGCTAAACATCTGGTATAATGGGGTGTACCACCGAACCCCATAACCTAGAAAAACCCTAAGAGAAATGGGGAACCTATAAAAGGGACCAAGGAGACTCATAAAAGGTACACAAAGTTCCCTTGCATTTCTCTTCGATCTCAAGCCGTGACTTAAACATCAGAGTGCCTTCGATTGGTCAACCTCGATCTTGAGCAATCCGAGCAC